TATTTTATTTTTATTTATTTATTTATTTATTTATTTATTTAAATTTGACCATAGAGAGACAGAGGTTGAGAGTGAGAGAGAGAGGAAGTGAGAAAGCAAGCCACCAGATTCAGGACTCGAACCCTGGTCTGCCATGTGGGAGTGTCCAGCGCCTTAATCACCACGCCACCTGCTGGTGCCTCTCTAGGCTTTTTGAAGAAAGTTTAGGTAACAAAAAAGTGAGATATGGGACCAGCAGGTGGCATGATGTTTGAGGCGCTTGACTTCCACATGGCAGACCATGGTTTGAGTCCCAGACCTGGCAGCCTGTTTTCTCACTTTCACTCTCTATTTCTCTCTGAAGAGTGCATGTGCCATGTAGCAAATTAAAAGATAATAATAATAATGATAGTAAAATTAAATGATTCTAAAAAATAAAGTGAGATAAGCTTTTCCTTTCCAGCTCCAGGAGGGAGGAGTCTGGAGGGAGTTCAGTTGTAACCCCCATAAGCTGTGACTGGTAAGGCAGGTGCCATTATCACAGGACCGTCTGCATAGCTGTCCACCTATCACGCCACAAGCTGCCCCACTAGTGAGATTGAGTCCCTCACCTCCTGTAGGGAACACCACCAATTTGCACCTGGGCAGCCCACCTCCTTCTCCCTGAACCAGGTTTAATGGAGGTGAAAACGCTGACCCAGTTCCGAAAGAATGTCAGAGCATGGCCCGTCAGCCAGGTCCACCCACCCTCCCTGACTGAAAGTGAGGCCTCAGCAGAGAAAGGGATTCACTGATGTCACGCTGTGTCTTGAAGAAGAAAGGGCTAGAGGTGACTGAAGCGAAGCCACGTAGCGCCAATAGCTTGTTCATCTGTCCCAGTGGATCATGGGGAGGCTGACAGATAGCAATGCCAAGAAACTGCCTACGTGAAAGGGACCAGGCTTGTCTATTCAAGTTTTTGTTTGGTTTTTGCTATAGGGTGCTTGCGCTTGTAGGTTGAGACAGAAAGAGACAGAGAGGAAGAGGGAAAGTAAGAAATCACCCCCTGGGCTGCAATCCCTTCTCCTCCATTCTCCTCTTGAGATTTTGGGCGTGCTTGCACATGCACCTGGTGTGATTTTCAAGCCACCAGATCCGGGACTAGAACCTCACGATTGGCCGTGTGAGACCCAGTCCTTAGCCACCGTGTCATCTGCTGGCCCGCTAAAGTATTTTAATAAGAGACAAACCTACTTCGCCCACGACGCCTTTCCTCACACGCAGTCGGGGTACTGCGCCTCTCAAAGCTCACCTGGTCCGTGAATGAAGCCTGGGAAACATGAACTGGCCAACATCGTTTGCAAAGTTGGAGATGTCACCGGCGCAGTGACAGGAAAACCCTGCGGACTCTCCTGCTCGGAGAGTCCAGTCCGTTCGGAAACCACCCACCCAACCAAGAATCTGGAAGAAGTCAGGATCTCTTCAACACTAAAAGGAGGATTTAAAGTTGCCAAGGGGAAAGAAAGATTTACATGTTTGCTTTATGGAAAATAAAGCTTCGTAAGTGTCATCACAACTCTCTAGTTTCTGGTGCTATATATGAAATAACGAAAAATAGATGAATAAAGAGCCCGTTACAATATTTAAAAAGAGGAAGAAGGATGAGGAGGAAAGGCCGCAAGCAAGGAGTGTGAGGAAAACTTCCTTAGAGGCTGAAAGGGGCGAGGAACTAGATCCTTCCTGAGCACCCTCCAGAGGGAGCACAGGAGTCCATACAGGGGGTACCGATTTTAGACTTCTGACTTCCAGATCTGTAAGGGAATTCATGTTTGTTAGTTTTGGCTTTTTATTTTTGCCAGAGGACATGTGTGCTTACTGGAGAGAGACAGAGAGGGAGAGGGAGAAAGCGTGCCTCCCTGGGGGATCGCCACACCCCTACCCCCTTTCCTCCATTTCTGGGGATTGTGGACATGCACACACACAAGCACCTGGCATGTTCTTCCAGCAGCTAGGTCTGGAACTTGAACCACATGGTTGGCCATGTGGGATCCAGCTACCTTAACCCACTGCATGGGCTGGCCCATGTTGGTTTTGATTTTTCCTTAGATTTTTGCCATAGTATGCATTCACTCACTGGAGACAGAGAGAGACAGAGAGGGAAAGTCAGCCCCACAGGGGATGCCCTTGCCACAGTCCCTCCTCCTCCATTCTCCTCCGGAGATTTCGGGCACACACGCGAATGCACCTGGTGTGTTTTCAAGCTGTTGGGTCCAGAAGTTCAACCGCAGAGTCAGCCATGTGGGATCCAGCATCTTAACTGCCGCAATACCTGCTGGCCTCGATTCCTTTTTCTATTAATTTTCTTTTCTTTTCTTTCTTTCTTTCTTTCTTTTTTTTTTTTTTGAGACTGATTTTTGCCATAGGGTGCATGTGCTCGCCAGAGAGACACAGTGAGATAGATAGAAAGTGAGAAATCACGCCCCAGAGGGATGATCACGCCGCAATCCCTTCTCCTCCATTCTCCTCTTGGGATCCTGGGCACACACGCACAGGCACCTGGTGTGAGTTTTAAGCCACTAGATCTGGGACTCAAAGTGAGGTTGACTACATGGGAATCCAATGATATAACCATTACGCCATCTGCTGGTGCCTTAATTTTCTTTTCATTTTAATTTGCTACAGGGTACATGTGCTCATTGGAGAGAGACAAAAAGAGAGAGAGGGAAAGTGGAATGCGCCCCCACCCCCCGCAATGTGGCCATCCCCTCTCTTCCAGTCTCCTCTTCAGACTTTGGGCCTGGGGTGTTTTTCAAGTCACAAGGTCAGGGACTCAAACTATGAAGTTGGCCATGTAGGATCCAGCCGTCCCAACCACCACACCAACAACTGGCCATATTAGTTTAAATTTATTTCGTCCATGAGAGAGAGAAAGACAAACACTCCCAATGGGAGTTTCATGCCATGACCCTTTCCCCAGTCCCGGCCAGCTGGGTCTTGGCCATATGAGCACCACTGGGCAGCTCAGGGAGGCCTCAGGACTCAAACTGGACTGTTTGAACCCCGTTGCCTCAGAGCTGTGCTGAGGGTGGTCATTCATTGTAGTAGCGTTAGGAAACACCTCCAGGTCGTCCCCAGGTCGGTCATCCCCAGGTGGGAAACACGAGGCCCCATCTGTGCTCTGAGGACTGATCCTGAAAGGCCCAGCAGGCCCGAGGGGTGAAGGGAAGTTGCTTTGCTTGAGCCAAGGTGGGAACTGGATTTGCCACCCAGAGTGTAGCCCTAGAGCCAGGCCAGCTATTGGGATTCTGGCCGGCGGCCATCTGGGTGCCCTCTTAGCCAGGAGCCGGTCTGGACCTGGGTTGAGCCCTACCCCTTGCTCAAAGCCCTGGCTACACCAAGCTGTTTCTTCCCCTAGTCTGGCCCTCACTTGGAGGCTGTGGCAGCATCCGGTGGGCCTGGGTCTCAGGTCCGCCCTGCACCTGGGACTGCTCACTGCACTGGCATGGCCCCACCCACAGCTAAAGGGGAGTGGGGAAGGGTGAGGGGAGCCCAGGCTCTTCAGAATCCCACCTGCTCTGGTCTCTCACTTTGCAGGAGGTGAAGAGGCCCAGAGGGGTTCCTGTGTGACACAGACCAGGACAGACTGGCTGTGGCCAGTGGGGGACAGGGCTTATCAGGCCTGTCTTGGCCAGCTAAGGGGTGGGTGCAGGCCTGGGCCTTCTTGTCTTCCTTAGGAAGCTGGATTCTTGGCAGCATACCCCCCTCTGCTCCCCCCCCCGGCTTCAGAATGCACTACCCACCACCACCACCATAGTCTGAAGGTGTGGGGTGAGGGGCAGTGCTCTGAACAGGGCTTGCATGGACGGGGCCACCATGTAGGGAGGAGTCCTGGGTCCACGGGGCTGGCTGAGGGCCAGGGGACCACCCCGGTTGACCCTCTCTGCTGGATCAGTCTCCATCTGGGCATGCCCTCACCTCCCCACCTGTACTGCATGCCTCGTGATCCCAGCATCCTCAGGGGGCTTGGTGAGCTGGAGATGGGTACCCCTCCCATCCCCTCTGGGTCCCTCCAGCTCTCCTCCCTTGCTGGGTTGCTGCCATGGGACCTGTTGAAAGTGGCCCCATCGGTGTTTCTGCTGGACTGGGCACCCCCCTGGCAGGGGCGTGCGAGGGCTGGGCCCAGCATAGGGGGCTAGGTGTGGCTGGGACTCTGGTGTTACTCTGCATGGAAAGGACCCGAGCAGTCAGCTGTGAGGGGTGCTGGCTGTGATGGGGGGGGAGGGAACTGGAGCTCTCATCATCTTCCCCTCACACCTTAGCTCCGTGGCTCTGGGTCTTGTGGCCTCTAACCGTCATGGGGCCTGTGGTGCTGAGCAAACTCACCTTCTGTCCTTCCCCCTCCCAAGTGCCCAGAGATCAAGAACCCAGATGCCAGGTGGGTGTGTGTGCATGCCCAAAATCCAGGGAAGAGAATGGAGGAGAAGGGGTTACGGTGTGGCCACCCCCTGGGAGTGTGTGATTTCTTGCTTTCTCTCTGTCTCTCCAGTGAGCGTATGCACCCTATGGCAAAAAAAAAAAAAAAAAAGATAGAATTCAGATGGAGGCCTGTGGTCATGAATTTATTTAGCAGACAAGGTGGGGCTCCATCAGCAGGTGGCCAGGGAACAGCAGGGTGGGCAATGCTGTGAGAAGGGTCTCTTGGCTCTCACTGGTGTCAGGCTGGTGAGGCCACACCTGGGCAGAGGCCAGTCTGAGAGAGAAGTCCTGACGGGGGACAGCAGAGTCAGGTGGGCAGCGGAGCTGGGGCAGGAGTCGGGAGCAGGGAGAACACTCCCTACTGCACCCTGGCCTCCCATCAGCATCCCCAGATGTACTCACTGAGAATTCATTCATCAATGCACTGATCTGTGGGGGAGAGAATCCATTGGAACAGGCTGGCTGGGCGTGCACGCGTGTGTGTGTGAGTGTGTGTGTGTGTGTGAGTGTGTGTGTGTGAGTATGTTTGTGTGTGTGGCTTCCCTTAATGCCAAGACCCCTGGGCTGCCCCTCAGAAGCCCGAGGCCTAGCCTGGACCAGCTGCAGAAGGCCTAGGTATTCCCTTCAGGGATGGGGCTACAGAGGGGCCAAGCATGGGAGAAAGGCCGGGTGTCCTGTTTGCCACCAAAGCCCCTCAGCTTTGGAAGGCCAGGTGCTCCCTGTGTAGCCCCCTAACCAAGTCAAGCTGCCTGAAGTTGAATACATCTTTCAAGTCAGCAGCCAGCAAACCCAGGGGTGGGGAGGAGATAGATGGCCCAGGACATAGAGAGGAGGTGGCCTAGGACACCAGAGCTGCTGTGTAGAGGGGAGGTGGCCAGGGCAGTGAGACCGGGTCATTTGGACATGCTCTACAATTCCCATCTGGGGGCCCTGGCTAAACTGTCAGGAAGGCGCTGGGAACCCTGGGGATTCCGAAGACCTCATGGAGGATTAGGGTCTTCCAGAACCCAAAGAGGCTCCCAGGAAGCTCTTGGGCCACCCACCCCTCAAGTGACTAGAGCAGGGGACTAAATCTTTCCTTGGTAGGACAGTACCAGGCCTGGCCAGTTCCTGGGTCCCCTCCCCTTCTCCCTCCAGGCCATTACCGATTGGGGTGAGGAAGACGATGTGGTCATCGGTGAGGCCCAGAGACTTGGCAAAGCGGACGAAGTCCTCCTTCAGTTTAGGGGTCAGCTCCTTGGTTCTCCCTGTGGCCAAAATGTCCAGTGCATGGCCGGTGGACACGCGTAAGTATTGTCAAGTGAGTGAACAATGCCTCAGACCCCGTTCTCATAGGGGGGCCCTGGAAAGACCCGTCCCCAGGGCTCCTGGGTGTTTGGAGTGGAGCTGGAGCTGGAGGGGGCCTGCTCCCTGTGCTGGGGTGGGGTGACTGGGACTCCCTTTCCCGCGCCCCCAGGGGCTGGAGTGAGGCCTACCATAGAGGGTGGTCTTGAAGTACTCCTTGTTGTTGGAAACCTTCTTGAAGAACACCATGGCAAACTGGTTGTAGTCGGTAGAAGCCACCCGCACAGTGTAGCTCTGTATTCCGGAGTAACCTGCGGGCGTGGGTGGCCGGGGTCAGCCCTGGCCTGGCCAGAAGGAGGGCTCTGTCCCCTTCCTCCCCAGCCCATCGGAGCGGGCTTCTCCCCACAGGGCAGCATCTGTGTAGAAGGTGGGGAGACCTGTGCCCCCTCCGGCAGGATCCGGGTCCTGGAACCCCCAACCCCAGGGGCCCGCTTCACTTAGGACTCACTCTTAATATTGCCCAGATTGAACTGGCCGGGCTGGAAACTTGGAACAAAAGTTCTGACCCAGTGGTCACAGCGCTGGTTCCTGGGGAGCAGGAGGGGTGGGGGAGCAGGGGAGGACACAGTCTTGTGCTGGGCTGGGGGGGCAGGGCCGCAGCAGGATTCTGATCCCCCCACACCATTCAGCCCCGCCCATGACAGGCCATCCCCACTGTGGCAGGAGGCCTCACCCGCCCAGCCTGGATGGCCCAGGCCTTCTCCTCTGAGCCCAGCCAGCGGATCTGCTGCCCCAGGCCCCTCAACCCTGCTCAGACCTCCCCCAGAACCCTGGTCCTTCCCTCCTCTAGTCACCCCTCCTGCCCTGTCCCTGCTAGCACCTCTGGACTTCCTGGCCTGGAACCCGGAGCCCCTCTACCTGGGCTGGCCTGCATGGGTGAAGCCGACAGGAGGTGGAGGCTGCCAGGCCTACCCTGGTACCCCCAGCACCCCAACCCCCCCCCAGGACCCCCACCGTAGGCACTTGGTCTTGTGGAGCTGCCTCCCTGCTCCGCCTCTCCTGAACACTACCTCAGACCTGCCAGGTGCTCCATGCCAAGCACTTCCTGGACATCTCAGCTGAGTCCCACCCCACCCCTCACCCCAGAGCTGAGCTCCCCAAACTTGCCTTGGTCTGCTCCTTTCTCCACAAAGGCTTCAGGGCCCGCCCCATCAACTCCTGCTGGTCTCTCAGCCTCCTGGCTACACCCCACCCCCTCCACCTGCTACAGCGCTCAAACCCACTCCTTGTCAGAGCCCTTCCTGCAGGTGCCTGAGCCATGCCAACCTGGCCACCCGGCCCCTCCAGGCTCTCAGCAGCCGCTCAGGGTGGCCAGGTGGCCAGCTGCCCATCCTGGGCATGGCTCTCTCCAGCCCTGCCATGCCTTTGGAGGCAGGCTGGCCCCTTCAAGGCCACCCCCCAGAGGCCCTCCATGAGTGCCCTTGATGAAGGCCCAGGTTGGACCCAGTGTCCCTCCTTAATGACACCCCTACTCTCTCCATCTTGTTTTCTAACCACTGTGCGTGGCTACCTCCACTACTGTATGCATGCACGTGTGTGCGTGTGTGGGCGTGCATGTGTGCATGGAAGTGAGCCCTACTGTATGTGTGGGTGTGCGGGTGTGTAGGTGTGCATGTGTGAACGGAAGTGACCCATAAACACAGAACGGTGAGTGAGGAAGGAACAAAGAGGTGAATTCAGTGCAGAGTAGTGAGATGCATGCAGAGTCCCTCAGCTCTGGTCCTCCCCCAGACCCCGTGCAACTCAGGAGGTGGTGGCCCTCACCTGAGCAGTGTAGAGGTGACATTGTAGCTGCCGTCTTCGTTCAGCTCGTAGGTGGTAGTGTACATCTTACCCTGGCCTTCTGCTTTTTTCTGAATTGCATTCCCTGCCAGGCCTACGGTGTACCACTTCCCCTGGAACTGCAGGGAGGCTGACGATAGGCAGGACCCAAACACAGCCCCAGGCCACCCCTCTGTCTCTGCCAGTGCCTCTGGGTTTCCTGACCGGGAACCAGGAGCCCCTCTAACTAGGCAGCAGGGCCTGAGGGCCTAGGCTGGGTCTGAACTGATGAAGCTGGTAGGAGCTGGAAGCCGCCATGCCAGGAGGCAGCCCAGAGTCTGCTGGGGACAGAGGTGACTCTGGGCAAGTGGCCGGTGGGTCGTCCTGAGCCTCAGTCTCATCATCTGTGCAGAGGGACTGAGGACGTTCCCACTTTGCACGGACAATGAGGAGGATGGGAGAGAGAGTGCGGGCCTGGAAAGGACTCTTCAGGGAACCCTGAGGGGGGGCAGAGGGGTGGCATTCCTTCAGGGAACTGGGCGCAGGGTGAGCTAAAGCCTGGGCACCCCAAGTCCTGCCTGCCCTCCTAAGGCCCGTCTACTTGTCCTGGGACCTTTCCCTCCTCCCTCTATTCCCACTCTTCCCTGGGCCCCCCTGATGCCGCCCCAGGCCCCTCACCTGGTCATCCTGGAAGTCCGGCTGCAGAGGGACCCTGAGCAGTGGCGGAGCTGGGATCAGGTTTGAGCTGGAGTCCTGGGCCTGAGTCTGCAGGGCACCCAGCAGGGTGAGGCCCAGCCACAGGAGACCCAGGGACATGGTTCAGAGCCGAGGAAGCAGGCGCTTGAGCAGCTGCTGGCCAGGTGACGAGGGAGTGAAGAGGTAGCCAGCCTGGGGGACCCTATTTATAGGCCTGGCTGGCCGCCGGC